GCTTTAATTGGCCAATCAGACATATGTACTATGATCACCTTACATATGTTAGAGCCGGATACGATATATCGAACAGAAATGTTTTCGCGAATACCGTTTTCTACGTTGTTCTCGTTTGTTACCCAAACTAATAAAGTTCACTTTTCCTCGTATTTATAAAAATGTAGCTCACGAGACACCATTATCTTTCTTTAAACAGGCGGGCCACTAGCTGATCTACCGGGACATTCCAACGCGCAGTATTCTGACTATATTCACCATCAGCCCATTGTATTGATTTGCAGCCCAATTATTTTTCTCCACAAATGATCGATGCGTGTGAAGGCTGACAAATAGTACTCCGGGGAGTACTGCACATTCACGACCGTAATTTCGATAGGTTCGGGTGAATCCAAAAAGATAAAACTATTGTTTGGATAACGTTGGTGTATGTAATGTTTGCAGTTGAAGTCCTCGAAGTCACACCCAAGGCAATCACTCGTTCTGAGTGTTCATACGCAGACACTGTTGATCACATGAGGCTATGCATTACGAAATATTGAGAAACAAAAATTCACATAGTGCTAGGTGGGATATAGCAGGGAACTATAGTTCATAAAGTTGGGGATGTGGTTTTAAAAGTATAAAAATGACAGTAATACTGGGTTTGATTGATACCTGTCTGAGTAGCACTAAGCTCTATTTAGATTGAATTTGTTTGGGGCAGGTTTATTGATTATTGTTTCATTGACCGATATGGGAACTACCCCCTATGCAGTCTGAGATCGAACGCTAAATGCACATTATATGATTTCGGTAGATCCGTAGATAAAAGATAACGAATTTTTTTCAGTCCCAGTGGTATATACAGAGGTGTTATTAGCTACAACGAATAAAAAAATCTCATCTTGTGCGGCAGAAACAACAGGAGATTAGTGTAGGTCAGGAAATAATCAGTTTACCACCTCATCCAAAATGCATTTTGGTAAGTGGAAACACATTCGATGCTTTCCAGCTACGAGGCGAGTATTAGTTCTTAACAACCCACGCAATACATGTCTTTTAGTAATGTAAAAAAGCATAAATGAATTGATTAATAATAAAATCGCTTCGGAATAGAAAGAAAGAGTTCAGTTGCTCGTATAGTCTGCTGGCATAGAGACATCACATATGACCACCAAACATAAACGCATTGCATTCTGACGGAGAAATCTGTGATACGTATCACCTGATGGATGTTTCTTTCTCACCCCAAAAATTATATGTATATGTTTGTATATGTATATACATTTGGATTGATACGTTACAGTAAACATTGTCCAAACCAATTTACGGGAAGATAGGCAACCGTAACATGGATTCTCTCATCGAGTGCAACATTTCTCCATGGGAGATTTCTATCAACATCGCACAGTACTCGTATCGTAAACTGTTTCATGTCAATGTTCTTGATGTGAATCCCACTTAGAGGACGGTGTCTTTTAGTGTGAAGATATAGGTTGGTCAAAATCAGTTCAGTCTTTTCGGTGGTCACAAGTTCCATACGTGTATTCATATATATTTGCGTTGGTGACCATATCTTTTGGACGATTGTGTGGTTTAGATGAAAAGTTGCTAATAAAAATTCAGCAATCTAACTAAAAACTGATTATTCAATCGATGGGTAATACCCATCTTAGAGAATGTTCTGATTTGTGTTGCGACACAATAGACAGTGAAAAAAGCATTGAAAACCTCCGAGAAAGGCAACTAATTAGAAATACAATCTTTAATTAATTCAATATACTGGTTTCGTGGTGTGGTATCAAAAAGCTCTCGAGATAAATGCGGTTTGCAACTGAATTTGTGGATCCAGTTCTACTCAAATATTACATCGTGAAAATTCAAGTGGGCTTTGGGTTCAATAAAATCAAAAATGAGGCTCCACGTGTTGCAGATCTACCAAATTACACGAAAAAGCGTTTCCCTTTCGAAACTCTGGAATGGTTAACTTTTAGAAATATTGGTCTGCGGAATATGCTGACTGACATAAGGCACAACATTTTTCAGTATAGATTTAAATAGTAAATTTTTCACCATTTTTATTGCCCGATAAATTTTTATTTTACTTCCGTTCATCGGGTTGGGTTCCAATGTGGCATTCTTGGAGCAGTTGTCCATTCACGTAAATCACATGTCGAAGGGAGAAGGAGAGTTAATAGGTGAGTTTAGTTTGGTATCATTTAATTAATTTTAGCCTGATTTTTGGTAAATGTTTTTCTCCTGATAAAGGGCCCAGAGAAATCGAATTTCGGTATCATTCTCGAATGGTTTTAAGAGGCGTTTCAGAGTTCACTGGTAACTTACTCGCAAACATGGCATATTTGGTCAGATAATAGATTGCTCGAGGAACGATGAATACGCTGTCGATGATGACCACCAACGCGTACGCTTTTGGAGCTTCGTGTATCGTATGCCCGTCAAACCATCGATAGACAACATTTTTGAAGTAATCCCCAGAAGTCCGTTTCTCCTGATCCCCCTCCGTGTCGGATGTTGCTGTTGCTGCATGTTGCTGTTTTCCGGAATCACACTTCGCGGCATTTGAGTCCGTGGCAGAGATCTGACATCGCCTTCGTAACCGAAGCATAATTAGGGCAAATGTGCCTAGAAAGCCACACACAACACACGGGATAATTTCTGTCCACATATGATCAATCATCGGCCAGATGACATTTAGGAACAGTGGACTGAGTGTGGTCGTAGACGAGAACCCACATTCACACGCTTTTCGAACCAGTCTCTCGTGAAGTGTTTTCGTATGTAACAATGAGAGGTCAAATGTCCAAAGGAATTGGCTGTCTATGGTGATAGCTAAAACAGCAGACAGGATCAGTACATTGCGAGTCCATTCCCGTCGATAGACTGCGGCGTACAGATGGGGACTTCGAGCAAATCGCCAAGTATCAATGGCGAATCCAATGAGCAACGCTGCATGTACATGTCGTAAACCGCTATGAATCATTGTCTGCAGCTGACATGCGGATCTGTCGAGAAATTGAACAGCTGTAAATAGCCGGATGCCACCGTATGCTTCAACCAAGTAATCTGTTCCACGAGCGAATAAATCAATCTGATCTAGTAAGGTGATGTACACAAAATAGATGGCCAAAGGGAGACGGCGACGGGAAAGTTTGTACGCCGTTCGCAGCAGAAAGAGATTTGAGAAACAAGCCAGTACAAGCAAAAAAGGCAGAATGACGCGCGCTACAGCATCCAAAGGGAGGCGATTACTCTCGACCACAGCCACAGAGGTTCCATGCTCGGATAGGAGAACTTCACGGACATTGACCGGACCAAGGAATGTGCCAGTGATTGGCTGACCATCAGTCAACGTGTGTACTACAGTCACTCCCGTTGGTTTATCTCGGTCCATATTGATGAAATGGCTGGGATACTTGGTAAATTCTGCGTCAGCTGGTGTTGCTAGTATTGAAGGAAAAACAAACCAAATGTCACTGATGAAAAAAAGACGTTTTCTTCCGTAATATCGGTCATGATTATCAAGGTAAAAGAGGACTAAAGTATGAGAAGGAAATTCGTAATTATTTTGGACGTTCATACTTTGTATTTCAGAGAATTGATTGATCAAGTATTCAATTGTTCTCAAGTATAAATGGTGTGTTGTAAGTGAAAGTGTAATATTTAATCTTAATTTAAACGAATCCTGCTGTGAAAGAGAACAAAGTTAATGTGACACTGTAGATGAAACACGGAGTCATTTCATAGTTTCAACTATTTTGTCCAAGAATTGTACTGGTTAGTTGCAAACGAATAACTTCAACCGCTGACCGATGCTGCAACCTTTTAACACTGTTTATCGTTGTTTGTCAGTTACCGTTTTCAAATGAATTTTAAATTTTAACCAAATTCTGCTTTCCCTATGTAAGACTGCGTTGGCATTATTCGAGAAAACATTAGTGCACAGATCGAACTGAGACACCTTAGCTATCAATTCTGAAAAAAGGATATTTTGATTGGTTCTCTAGGTACCGTCCATCAGCTCTGTGGTTATTTCAAAGGATGACCTCTCAAATAGAAAGCGAAACCGCAAAGATGCTGTCCACTTTTAAAGTTATTTCGCTCGAGAAACATTCAGGGACATTTACAACCCAATCTGAGGGTAAAGTCGAAATTTATGGTATGCGAACTAATTTTCAAGGGGTCGGTTTTTTGCAATATGCACCTAATGTGATCCACTGTCGGCAGATTAAAGCAAACGAAAATGCGCATCCTAATCATCCAATCGTGCCTATGAAGTATGATTGTAACGTTCACTTACACGACAAAAGCGGTTTGCGGTGCGCAGAGATTTACGATTCGGCTGCGGTATTTTGTTGTACGTTACTTTTGTGTATACAGTGGGTAATTGGCTGTATTTTTGTGCAGTTGTCGTAAGTGAAATACCAATTCGATAAATTCGGTATTTATTTAAACTATTGCAAAACCAAACGTAATCAATAATATTACAGTGCAGGTTCATTCGTTTAGTGGTAAATCATTTGAATTGCAAATAGGCGCCAAATTTTGTCCGGGTGATGGTTTTATGGGACCTTATATTAGCAGATTACTGCAGACTCATTGTGTATTTCCTCAGAATATATATGTATATAAGCAGTTCAAAGAGACGGGTCTATTATTTGTTGATTATTATTGATCTATTTAAAAGAAACAAGCAGCTAAGCAGCATGCTGTAAAATACATAAAATGAAAGGAGTGGAATTAGTTGTGGGGTTTGAGAGCTTTTGAATAGATGATGCTTTCCTCACTCCGACGGAACGTAAAATTGTAGAAACTAAGGATGCCTGGAAAGGAGTTTGTCGATTACGAATAAAACAAATGTGAGATTGTGTACAGAAGCCAGTAAATGAGAAGGGTAGACAATGGTGAGAAACCTCCACAGGTAGATGAGAGAAACATCACTTTTATGGTCATGGTAATAAAACCACTTGAACCAAGTTACTTTGCTTGCACACCTTCCATTTTACAATTCCATTAAACATGGACGTCACAGTTGCCAGCATTTCCTAACACAATCATTTGATGGGGTTGCGTTGTTATAAGAAAACGTGGAAGCGCCATTTCTGAAACAATTTTACATCTTCTGTCAACCAGATGTTTTATAATTGAGCTGCTTTGGTTGTAAGTTCTAAGAGTTCATGGTTTACCATGTATTTAATCCACGTAAAACTCATCTTTTTAATAGAACACCGATCGTCTGCTGGTTACCAGTAGTCAATATCGATTACTGATGAACTGGATTTTGTACATTAGTAAGAACAACCTGACAGGGTGCAACATTATTACGCATTTGATGGTATTAAATTTGTTGTCTAAGATGCCGTGAACATTTCCGCTGATATTACTGAGTATAATTTAAAGATGATGTCACTAACTTGATTCCTGAATATTCAGTTTGGGGCTCCTGAAATGCGTTGAGGGGGTTCGTGAAAGAAATCACCGGGTAACCGTTCCCAAATTTTACTTCAACTAACTCATCTATAGCAGCCTTACTTACCATTAATTTTTGAACAGCCCGCTGAAGTGTTCCACTGCTATTTTGGCTGATGACATCAACCGGTCTAACGTATTTAAATCTTTGTTTTTCTACGGAATGAGTCGTTGGCAAGTGGTATGCTGGTCGAGAGAGAAAGATTATGCAAACGACTTCAACCGTTGTTAGGCAGAAACATACCCTTTGTTTGGGTGCAGACTCACAATTGCATATTCCGCTGAGAGAGGGCGAACGTCAACTAGCACCATTTCCATAATTGCCAAATATGATCTCCGTATTCTCTTTTTCTGAGCGTAGGCCAAAGAAATCCTGAGGATATGCCATAAATAACCGAATGATTTTGCGCCACATGATGAAAAGCTAAATGACCATTCAGAACGAGTTAGCTGTCCGTGCGAACAGAAAAATACCGAAAAAACAGGAGATTGTTTCCTTCTGCTTATCATGTTTATCCTGTTTTCTCCATAGGCTTAAGAACCAAAATTTGTCTAAACGAAACCCTGCATCTTACAGCTGAAGGAGTTCTGTGATGTAAAGGTAGATGCGCAAAATAAGACTCCTAAAAGTATCAAAGAAAATATGAGATAAATTGATCGATTTTCAGCGAAGTTCATAAGATCCTCCGAGCCAATATCACATTCTTGTCCGTATGAGGTCATTGTCACCGGTGGACCAGTAAATCACGTCACAAGATCACCAAAGTGCACAGCGTTCCATGAAATTGTGACTAAAACCGAGTATATTAAGATACTCAAATCCATTTAGAAAATTGTCCGTTGAGTGGATTCCATGTATCGCCGCAACATCGTTGGTTTGTTTCGTAATTTGCCATAAAATTCGTCTTAGGATTTCACTGAAGCTTGCTCATCCAGGTCACTGATTTTTCACAATGGTTTAACGATATGAGTATCATGCTTCTATTGAAACGTTTGCGTTACGCACGTTTTATTTTACCTGCATGCTGGTATTTTAAGTAAAATGAACAACCACGAGACCAATTCAGCATCCGTGAATGGTGGTAGGAGATGGGATGCGTGGACAATTCGAATAAAGCATAATTTATGAATCTGGATATCGTTTCTCAGCTCTTTTAAGCTGTTTCAACTATCATCCGTTGTGCACTCTGACTGACGGAAAGCAAAATAGATCGTGAAACATACATTCTGCATGCAGCATCTGAGGAATTTGTCCTTACATTTATTTCAGCAGGTGCGAACCAAATATACATTAATAAGTACAGATACAAACAGGCTAAAACGTAAGCCTAGAACATATGAACCGGGGTAATTCGATCAAATCTGATACGCTGTTTTATACAAGCTGAATTCGAGAACATGAGGAAATACCATAAGCAGACACAGCAATTTTCTAGCTTTAGCAAATTAGTACGGATGATTTAAAATTTCGCACCAAAAACGCATCTTGGAGATTATACTGAAACTTCTGAGTCTAGGATTGTGCGGAAACATATGATTGGAATACACTTAACAAGCGCTTCCGCAATTTGAGAAAATGTTTAGTCCTTTGATGTTCGAAAGCTGATCAAAGGTTGTGGAACCATTTACACACACTGAAATACCCATATGAGTGAACTGAAAAGGTAAAATCAATTTTTGTTTCATAAATCAAAACTAATTTATGGTAAATTCAATTCATCCCTCTTATTCTCTATTGGGTTGTATCTCTAATTTGCAGAGAAATTATTCTCAGGGGAGCTCAACGAAAAATCTGAAATTGGGTGCAAATTGATTGAATTCCCTTCACCGTAGTAGTTTTGTTTAGGTTTCATTGAATCGAGCCGATTTGGATAGACCAGGGCAGTGGATTCTGAAGTTGTGCTTAAGCGCTTGTATGATGAGTAGCTTGGTGAAGAAAATCGGCCGGCTCGAAGCGCGAATACCTCAAATCGGCCTGAATAAAGGATATTTATGTACACCATTAATCCAAATATCTCGGTCTATTGCATCGTTTAATTAAACACCAAATTAAGTTTCTATTTCGCCGTAGATTGAGCTGTGGGAATAAAAATGATCTCAGTTGACTAATTTTGCCGCATATCTTTTCGGTTGCATAAATTTATTCAATGTTTGAAAATGGTGATCACATTGGTACACAGCTTTATTTGACCGCTAAAAGGTGACATGATTAGAAAGCGAGACCTCGTACAACGTAAACGTGTACCCCTGTTTGATCCATCCTAGTAGTATTCTAGAAAAGTAAGGCGTATTATTGTGTACAACTGTATTGTATTGTATTGAAGTTGTAGCGAGTTATACACAAACTTCTAGTCAGAAAGAGACCACCAGCGCAATACTGAAAGAAGCCAAAAAGTGAGACATCAAGAGAATGAACTTTAAAATGCATTTGAGAGCTCAGAAAGAGCGTTCTCTCTGTCGGCCAACGTCCGGGCAAGATAAGGTAACACAGAGTTTCTGTAGTCCGATATCGGAGATGAGTTGAACTTTTGTTTTCAAAGGGTGAAGGGATGGCATTTGCATGCACACAGGTTAATGTGTAAAAAATGCCCGTAATCAGGGAAAATATTGCCAGCAAACTTCAAGCACGCATCAATATGAACATCACATACATTGTCTACCAGAGCAGACAACGGAACTTGTGAAACACGGCTGATCGTTGAGAGAGGACAACCTCAGTAGCTTGAAATCAGCCTTCAGGAAGCCAAGGGAAATCACAGTGGAGCAGTAAAAGAGTTGTGGTGGTCCTAGCTTACGAGATGACTCACACGTTACAGTTTTTGGACAACCGTGATCAATGAAGCTTCTCGGGTGACGTCAGCAAAGCGCGTACTTGTCGCAGTCCCTAGACTACAAAGCATAGGACGATTGTACCAACCAATCGGAAACTGTACGGCCCAGACAGAAGCTGAACAATTCCAGAAATACTAGCGGGC